CCTTCATTTGGAGAAGAATGGAAATTTAATTGTTCATTTTCCTGGTATTTGCCCAAAAAGGAAAAGAATTTACAATTTACTCTAATTCTAAATGTTATATGGTATAAGCACCATCAAAATATCATAGAAACCATAGCATATAAAATACTCTAAATATAGACTTAATGGTGGCAATTACTAACTGTTCACAAAATCCATTTCTTCTTCGTCCCGGAAAACAGAGCTAAACTATATTCCTAGCCACTGAAAAATGATTGGGGCCGCTTCCAGAACTGGCTTATAAAAACCTCCCATATATGCTCTACCATGCTTTTTGTTCCTTCCTGTTGACTGTGAATGTGAATCCAAGATAATCTAAAGCTTCATGTGTTAAAGACAGCAGGGCAAACAGTCCACCTGGGTCCTTGGTGATTGTTTTATAAGCAAGAAATAAACTGCTACTGCGTTTACACTATCATATGTTTTTGCATCTATTTATTATAGTACATAACATTACTCTAATACAAAATGCCAATAATTTACCTGTCTACCTAAAAGCAAATCTCAATTATTTTTAAGTTACTATGAACTACTTGGATTCTTACTGCAAATATGATGAGACAAAAATAAGTCAATCACAAGCAGAATGAGTTCTACCTGTTGTTAACTCTACTAGAAATTAAGATAAAAATATAATAAATCATATTCTCCTGATAGCTATAGAAATGACATAATCATGTGGATCCTAATTTTTAAATCAAAATTAGGTTTTCTGACTAGAAAGACACAATCACAAATTTCTAAGATAATTACACGTAAGAGTTGGTATAATGACCTAAAATGCAATCACATTCTCTTACCATCTGTGCCACGAGAAAAAGTAATTTGTTGAACTGAAGATGAGGAAGCAAACTTTCTAGGAGCTTTGTTTAGCTTCTGGGAACTAGTCTCAGGAATTTCACGTCCACGATCTTTAGCATTAATAAAAATCTCAGACGAAAACATGGTCTTTTCTGGACTTTCTGTTGTTATTTGAGTGACTGCATCAGATGACAATTTTCCAGGGGAGGCAGAAAATGAGGTCTTAATATTCTGTGACGATCTGAACAAAAAAGGGAAAGAACACAGCAGGTCATATCCTCAGCCTATCAAAACTCGAAATCTCTTTCCAAAAGTGGTTTTAAGGAATATTTATGGTTTCAAGGAATATTTAAGTAGCTATAAGAATATTTTGTGGACATACCAATCCCAAATGTTGTCAAGGTGTTTCTATGGTACCCTTCATTTATTATAATGTGATGATGTATATATTTACTTTTATTTTAAAACCTATTTTTTTTTGTTTTTTGAAAAGACCTATTCTTTTTATTTTTTTTATTTTCTTATAATTTTACTTTTTTTATTTCAAAATATTATGGGGGTACAAATATTTTGGTTACATATAATGCCTTTGCCTCACCCAAGCCAGGGCTACAAGTGTGCCCTTCCCCCATACAGTGCCCTCCACATCCATTAGTTGTGAGTTTACCCAAAACCTACTTTTAATTTTAATTTAGAATGCCGTTATATAATTTAGCTGAGGAAACAGTATTTTTCAGTTGAATTGAAAATACGTTCTTTTTTTTATAATTACTGTCCACTATAAATTAGGGGACTGTGCTAAATGCATAGACTGTACAAAGATAAACAACAGAGCCTCAAAGAGTTTATATTTCAATGGGGGAACCAGAAATTTTCAGAGTTATAGTTAGTATCAAGAATTATAGAGAATTCATATTAAGACAGAGTGGAACAAATAAATGACTGAATAAATAAATAACTGGGAGAAGAAACAAATTTTGCTTAAGAAGAATTCCAAATAGATGTAGATACCTCCCACCAAAGAAAGTAACGCTTTATCTCCCCCTCTTCCCTTGAATATAAGCTAGACTGAGTGACCAGATTTCAAAGCATGGAGTATAAAAAGGTAGAAACAGTAAGTTCACAGTGGAGACATCTGACAAACATCGCCATACGCAAGTGACCATGGTTAACATCACCAGTGATGATGTGGGTATCACACATTCCTCGCTATGTGAGAGAGGGGGCACTTCACCTCTGTGGTATTCTTTCTCAACCACGAAACTCCAGCCAAACCCAAACTGAGGGACTTTCCACAAAGTACCTTAACAGTGCTTGTCAAAACATGAAAAACAAGGAAGGAATGAGGAACAGCTACAGACCACAGGAAGCTAAGAAGACATGACAACTGTCTCAATCCATTTGAGCTGCTATAACAAAATACCATAGACCGGGTGGTTTATAAACAACAAAATTTATTTCTTACAGTTCTGGAGGCCGGGAAGTTTAAGATCAAGGCAGTGGCAGATTTAGTGTCCAGTGAGGGCCTGTTTTCTGGTTCATAGATGGTATCTTCTCACCTATGTCCTCACATAACAGAAAAGACTAGGTAGCTCTCTGGGGTCTCTTTTATAAGGGCACCAATCTTACCCATGACCCTCATGACCTAATCACCTTCCAAAGACCCTACCTTTAAATTCCATCACATTGAAGATTAAATGCAACATATCAATTTTGGAGGGACACAAATACTCAGACCACAGCATTCTGTCCCTCGCCCCTCAAAATTCATGTCCTTGTCACATGAAAAATGCATTTATTCCATCGCAACAGCCCAGTATCAACTTTAAAGTCTAAGTCCAAAGTCTCACCTAAATATCATCTATTAATAAATCAGATAAGGGTAGAGTCAAGGCATGATTCATCCCGAGGCAAATTCCTCTTCAGCTGTGAGCCTATGAAATCAAACAAGTTATGTACTTCCAAAATACAATGGTGGGACAGGCATAGGATACACATTTCCATTCTAAAAGGGGGAAATGGGAAGGAAGAAAGGGATAAAAGGTCCTGAGCAAGTCCAAAACCTTAAAACTCAACAATAATCTTCCTTGATTCAAGGCTCTCCCATCCAGGCCCACTGCAGTGAGGGTTCTGCCTTCTGGACACACTGGGGTGGCAGTCTTGCCCCGATGGCTTTGGGTAGCCCACCCCTACTGCAGTTCTCTGTGCCTGGGTCACACACCTACAGCTTTCCTGGGCTGAATTACACTCAGGTGGCTCTAATGATTTGGTGTCTCAGGGTGGCCCTATCTCTACGGCTCTGCTCACCATTGCTCTTGGAGGGTGGTTCTTTTTGGTGGTCCTACTCCAACAGTAACTTTCTGCCTGAGCTCCGTGGCTCTCTGGGGCAGCTAGACCCCCAAAGCTTAAATGGATACAGCACACACAGTACTGGGGTGTGCCAGAGCCACACCTATGGTGGTCAAGGAGTGTGGTGACAAACTATAAGGAGCACAGCGTAGAGGCAGCACTGGGCAGTGGTCTCACTGGTGCCTGTGGCCCCTCCTTTGAAATTGTTCTGTCCCCCAGGCCCTCAAACTCTGGCCTGTGATGGGAGTGGCAGCCTCGTGATCTCCAAATGCCTTCAGGTCATTTTTCAGTTATCATGATGAATAAAACCTGGCTCATCCATACTAATCTCATCAAATGGTCACTTGGTCACATTATTGGTGTTCTCTCCTAAACATACCTTCTTATTTTTCACAATATGGACAGGCCAAGAATTTTCCAAATCTCTAAGTTCTACTTCCTTTTTGATTAAAATTCTATCTTTAAATCATTTCTCTCTTCTCACATTTTACTATTAGCATTTAAGAGAAGCCAAGCCACACCTTCAACACTTTGTTTGGAAATTTATTCAGCCAAATAAACTATTTCGTCACTTGCAAGCTCCACATTCCACAGAGCACCAAGACGTAACACAATTCAGCAAAGTTCTTTGACGCTTTGTAACAAGGAATGCCTTTCCTCCATTTTCAAGAACGTGTTCTTTATTTCTGTCTGAGTCCTCATCAAAATGGCCTTTGCCATCCATATTTCTACCAACATTGTATTCACAATCACTCATGTGATTGTGGCTTTTCTGAGGTTTTTCTACAGTTTTCCTCCTCTCCTGAGTCCTGACCAAAATCATCCTTAACAGTCTATTCACAGCAATGTAGGCTCTTACTAGCATATACCTCAAAATTCGTCCAGCCTCTAACCATTTCCCAGTTCTAAAGCCACTTTCACTTTTTTAGGTATGTTTACAGCAGCACCCCCACTACTTGGTACCAATTAGTCCATATGGGCTGCTATAACAAAATACCATAGGCTTGGTGGCTTATAAACAACAGAAATTTATTTTATTTCTCACAGTCCAGAGCCTGGTAAGTCCACGCTGGCAAATCTGCTATCTGGTGAGGGCCTGCTTTCTGATTCATAGATGGCACCTTCTTAGCATGTCCTCATGGTGGAAGGGACAAGCTAGCTCTCTGGGTCTAATCATAAGGGCACTAATCTCATTCAGGAGGGCTATCTCCTCATGACCTTATCACTTCCCAAAGGCCCCACCTCCAAATACCATCACATTGAGAATTAGGTTCAGTATATGAATTTTGGGGGGACACAAACATTTAGACCATAGCAACAATTAACTAAATGTAGGGTCCTGCAACAGAAAAAGGACATTAGTGGAAAAAGTGGTGAAATCCAAGTAAAGTCTCGAGATTAACAGTAACCTACAAATGTTGGTGTCTTCATTTTGACAAATATACTATGGTAATGTAAGATGTTAACAACAGGAGAAGTTAGGAGAGGGGTATAAGGAACTCTACTATGTTTAATCTTTTCTCTAAGCCTAAAATTATTCAAAAATAAAAAATGTTTATTTCAAAAAGAGAATAATGTTATATCATATGAACACAAATGCAAAAATCCTAAACAAAATGCTAGAAAATCAAATATAGTGTCTATGTGTGTGGACTGTGTGGTTGCTCTCATTTTATACACACACACGTGTGTGAGTGAGTCCCTACCAAGATGGTTTACCCTAGGAATGAAAGGTGAGTTAACATAAAAAAAAAAAAAAAAAGTGATTTGCCACATCAACAGAGGAAAAAATTCATATGATAATATCAATATAGTCAGTAAAAGCATTTGATAAAACTCAATAATTATGCATGATAGAAACTCACAGCAAAGGGAAACTACAAAAAACCCTAGAGCAACCACTGTACTTACTAGTAAAATGTTGAGAATGTTCCCTGTGAGATTAGGGACAAAACAAGGATACCAACTTATTCACTGTTTTATAATAGGTAAAGGTGTTAAATGGTATTGGGAGTAAGGCAGAAAAAAGTAGTAAGAGGTATAGACAAGAAAGGAAGAAATAATATTACTTTTCTTATTTGATATAATTGTGTACATAGAAAATACAAAAGAATCTACACATAACTTATTAGAATATACACAAATTTTTAGAAAAGTTTTGCCAGATATTAGATCAAAATTTTAAAAACCCATTAGATTTTTTAATATCATAAAAGTTATAAAATTAAAATGTAAATGTATCATAAAAATATCATCAAAAATATCAAATACCTAATAATAAGTATAATAAAAGACAAAAGAACCCTAAGTAGGACACTACAGCTGCCACAGACAGGGATTCCCCTATGATGGATCTGGGTAAATTGAAAACCTTCTGGAAAGGATTCACCATTCTAGATGCTATTAAGAACATTTGTGATTCACAGGAGGAGGTTAAAATATCAACATGAACAGGAGTTTGAAAGAAGTTGCTTCCAACCCAAATGGATGACTTTTAGGGGTTCAAGACTTCAGTGGAGGAAGTAACTGCAGATGTGGTGAAAATATCAAGAGAGCTAGAATTAGAAGTAGAGACTGAAGATGTGACTGAATTGCCACAATCTCATGAAGGGATGAGGAGTTGCTTCTTATGAATGAACAAAGAAAGGGGTTTCTTGAGATGGAATCTATTCCTGGTGAAGACGTTATAAACATTGTTGAAATAATAACAAAGGATTTCAAATATTACATAAATTTAATTGATAAAGCAGCAGCAGGGTTTGAGAGGATTGACTCTAATTTTGAAAGAAGTTCTATTATGGGTAAAGTTCTATCAAACATCATCACGTGCTACTAAGAAATTTTTAGTGAAAGGAACAATCAACATACGTGACAAACTTTACTGTTGTCTTA